GTGTCACAGAATATACTAACGAAAAAGAAGCCCAAGTTCCTGGTAATAAATCGGTTCCATTTTCGTAACGCCATCTCTCGACAAAGCTGACATTTACAGGTTAGCCAAAGGGGTGCGGGGCCGGGGGGAATTGTAAAATACACTTTTTTATTTTAATTATTTTTTTGGCTATTTGCAATTTTATTTTTAAAACATATTATCTGAAACAATCACATAATATGTCTTAAAAATAAAATTACAAACGGAAACAAAAGGAATTAAATAATCTGAAAATCTACAAAGCTTATTGATAAAAAAGTTAGGCTATGCAAATTGATATATTAAGTATAACCTCTTTGGTATAACATTGTTAAACAAACATTAACAAATCATAACATATCAGATCATAGAACTAAAAAAAGTACTATTACATAAAAACAGGTGATATTAATTTTAACATAAAATCAAAACCGAAAAATCAAACTGCAAACACAACCACACTTATCACAACAGAAATTAACACACACTTCCGCGGCAAATGTCCAAGAAAGACTGATCATTCTGATTGGTCCTGGTCCGGTCGTAGCTCACGTCGTATTGTCGGTAAGCAAAATCCCTGTCCAAAAATCTTGACGATCAGCGCCATCACCCGTCATAATTGGGAAACTTTTGCTGGAACCATTTTGAATATTTCACTTACATGGCCCTGGCACGTGTGTTTTGAATTTTGGGTGTGGCTTAACACGACAGATTCGGGCTAAGCCTTAAGCAGATTTCTCAAATATAATATAATATACAGGGTTGTTCACCACATACGACACGGAGTATTGTAGCTAAACGATCAGATTTTTACAAATTGTAAGTTTTGGATTCGTTGAAGGACCATTAGAACTATAATTTAAAAATATTTTTACAAGATACAGGGTGTCCCAAATAAATAAAAAATATCAAAGCTGTATTTTTCTAAATGGAACACCCTGTATATTATTAAATTTTTAGTTTCTACGATTAAAATAAAGGTAAATTTGATTAAGGTTTATCACACTTAAACCTTACCGTTTTTGAAATATTTAGGTTTTTGTCAAAATACAGTAATAATTTTAATGCTTCTTTAAGTATTTCTATTTACTGAGTTTTGTGTTGCCATAATAAAAATTATACTACCTTATACAGAGTACCCTGTATATTTTACGAGAATCAGATGCACAATTTAATTGTCTATCAAATTGTATTATGCCATTTTTTTTCCTATCTCTTCAAGTTTCCGTAGAAAATGCATTTTCTTGTAATTTAGAACTCATTTATCAACATACCCATGGAATACTGACATTTTAGATTATTTTTAGAGATGTACCAAATTGTTACAGAGTACAGATACTAATATTGTCGATATAGTTCGTTTATTTCATTAAAAAACTAAAAAAAACTGTTTAAATATTTATTAAAGAGGACCAATTAATATGATTCCAGTATTCAAACTAGATTATTAATTGACTGTTTGCGTTGATTAATAATAATTACTCGAAATACTAAAAAACTGAATTTTGTATGTGTATTAGACAGTGTGGTAAAAAGTAACACCTTAAAAATGATATTTCATTTTTTGACAAATGCTTATTTATAACAGAGACGTTTATTTCATAACTTATTATATTGATTTCTGAATCAAATCCTCATTTATTTAGAATAATTTATTACCGAACACAATTAAGTATGCAATTAATTAGTATTTGAGCGGAAATAATGGGTGGTATAGTTAATTAATGGTATACTCTTTTATAAAGATTTAAATAGTTTTATACAGTTTATATAGTTTAATAGTAATGCTAAAAACGATAATATTACTAGCCTGTACATTTTGTACGTTTGTTGCTTTAAAAACAACCTAAAATGCCAATATTCCATGGGTAAGTTGATAAATCAGGTCTAAATTATAAGAAAATGCACTTTCTACGAAAACATGAAGGGATAGGTAAAAATGGCACAATACAATTTGATAGACAATTAAATTGTGCATCTCATTCTCCTAAAATATACAGGGTGTTCCATTTAAATTAAACAAGTTATTGCCGTTTAAAGCTAGAAATTATTTAAAATAAATTTTTAGACACTCTGTATGAGATAGTATTATTTTTATTATTGCAACACAATAACTGATCAATAAATAAACTGTAAATCAGTAAAAATTTAGTATTAAAAACTTTGATACCCTTGGAGAAATCAAGCCTTAAAATTTTTGCTGCAGTTTCACAAAATTAAAAATATTTCAAAAACGGTAAGGTTTAAGTATAATAAACCTTAATCAAATTTACCTTTATTTTAATCGTAGAAACTAAAAATGTATTAATATACAGGGTATTCCGTTTAAAAAAATACAACTTTAATATTTTTTATTTATTTGGGACACTCTGTATCTTGTAAAAATATTTTTAAATTGTAGCTCTAATAGTCCTTTAACAAACCCAAAACTTACAATTTGTAAAAATCTAATCATTGAGCTACAATACTCCGTATCGTATGTGGTGAACAACCCTGTATAGTATTGTTAACCTGTCCGAGATTTAGTTTAGCTCTGCACCGCTGCGCGCTGCTAGTCCATTACAGCGCAGTGGATAAAGAATACTGTTAATCTGTTCTGTGCATGTTCTGTGAATACTGTACCATAGTTCTGCTTTCAATTAGAAGTGTCTAGTTCTAGCAGTCAACGATTAAGCTTGACCAATCAGGTTGGTTAGCGTGGTTATTTGGAGTGTGTTAATTCATTTGTGTTTGTCAAAAACTCTAAAGGTGCGTATTCATTATCCGAACGAACGAACGAATGTTCGCTAGTGGTATGGACGGGGACCGCACGATAGGACCGCACGAGAAGACCGGAGGCATTTGTTGGCGAACGCCTTTGATGTACCGACTCGAAACGGATGGTCGAGCGAACGAACGAACGAACGGCCGCATGATTTTTTTTTGTGAGGGGGTGGTTGAAAAATCTTTTATAGACGAATAGTGATCATTTCCATGACCATCTCGAGAGAGACGGTCATAGAAATAACCCCTAGACAGTGTGGGACTCGGTGTTGATACCCACTAAAAAAAAAGTCCACCTCCGAGGAATCAGCCGCCGAAGAATGGTCAGCTATTATTCCTGCTAATATGTGGGGAAATAAACGGCCGCATGCGTTCGGTCCCCGTCTAAATATACCGCACTTTCATTCGTTCGTTCGTTCGTTCGTTCGTTCGTTCGTTCGGATAATGAATACGCACCTTAACGTGATTGGTCGGGCTTAACAGTTGCCTGCTAGGGCTAGACACAAGTCTTTCAATTCGGCAGAGTGAGTGGTGAGAGGTGGGTGGTTGCTGGCGACAGTGTTGCCAGAACTACGGATTTTGGGTACAGTACGTTAATAATAAGGATTTTATATCATTAAACAATATAATATTCAGGGTCGGACTGGCCATATAGTCAGGATGGCAATTGCATAAATTTATTTTTCGTTCAATTTTATTTATAGCTCTTTGAACTTTCTTCTTATACTTCCGAATGCATTTTGTACTCTTTATTGTAAATGTTGAGATGAATTCATTTCACTTTTACAAATGACGTCAAGTAAATGTAGTCCCTTGGTAGTCCCTTGGTAGGTACAGAGCAGTATAAATTATATTACTCTACCATTTCCAGTCCATCTTCCGGGAAAATAATTTGATTGTTTATATTTTATTTATATTAATTATTTTATTGCATTTGATTTTCCGTATTCAATGTTTTACCCCACGTCATTGTTAAGTTTGAATGCTAATCAATATTGTAACGATGAATATATTAAATATTTAAAAAAAAAACAGAGCCGGACTTGAAATTAGTTTAAATAAATTGTGTTCAAATGTCAAAACAAAAAAAAATATTAAGTGTGGCATATCATTGTACTCAGGAGACTGAGTTCTTTCAAAATTTGAAATAAAAAATGCATTTAAAAAAATTAAGTTGGCCTCTGTATCTCACAAATTATCAGCTAATTTGAAAATGTAAAAATACTATCAGATAGCCCTAATAAAGTGGCTATGAGAATGTGCAATTAGTTTTTTGATTTTCTAAAAAGTAACGACAGGAAAAAATAAAATTGATTTTTAAAAAAATCAGTTTTTTCGAAAAAAAACTCAGCAATCCTTGAAATTTTTAAAACTCTTTTGATGGCATCTTGGTGAACACCCCAAAGCGCAACTTTGACCCAATTTAACCATGTATCGTATCTATTACGGTTACCGAGATACCAATGCTCGTACCTCGAATTTGTAGCACCCTGTATAGATTTCCACCCTGTGTATCAATGAAAACATTTTAAAAACTTGCTTTAGATACGATTATACGATTGACAGCATATTTAAAAAAAAAACATTATTGGAACGAAAATGATAAAATATAGAAACCCTGATATTGGTGATTTCAAAACACTGAATCACCGTGTATAATATAACTGATGAAATGTACTGGAACAAACGATACTTCACATTCAGTTTTGCGATAATGTATGATGGTAGGTATAATAATCAATTTTATGCAAAATTACAATTAATTTTTTGGATCTATGAATTAACCGGTTAATGATTACCGAAAATAATAATAGAAATGCTTCTTATTAATTGTGTATTATGTCTTATTATTGTGTATTATGATAATTGTGATTTATTAATGAATACAATAATTTTAATTTTTTACTCTTATTCCGGCGCATCCGCCAAAATCTAGAAACCCTGCGCATTCGCCACATAATCATTCTTCATAGCATTCTAAGATAAATAATAAATATATAAATAAAACACCAACAATTAAACTGTAGAAACACTTCAATAATTTTGTTATTTTCTAATTATTTTATCGGTTGTTTTGCTTGTTATTCTGCTAATTTATAGCTCTTCGGCAAAGTCTTTGGTAAGGTAGATCCCTCTTTTTCAGCTCGATGAATTACAACCACAGATCAGGAAAATATCTTCATCTTCTTCTTCACATATCTGTCATACTGTCATCTGCTGTCTGCTGTCACTTCAAATGTGCTTTAAATATCGAGTGGACTGAAATTTCCGCTATATTTTTTCCAATAAACTTTTCCATTTTATATTGTGTGGTTCAGAAGCGTTTCAGATTTTTTGCTATTTCCCGAAGTCAAAGTTCAAGCAACCATTGTTTTAATTCATTCGAATCCCCTGGCATACTATGATTTGCGAACAAGATAAAGACAACACAAGTTCGCCGCAAAAACAACTGAACATTATCGATAACAGATCCTGTACAAAGCCAACCAAACGGGTAAGCGTCGTTTTTTTTTAATTACAATTAAAATTCATTGTTAATTTGGTTGAATTAATTAAAATCAATTACAATGTGTAGCATGGCACATACATCATTTCAAACGCTGTTGCTAACGGTGAAAATTGAAAGGTTTTGAGAAAGTTTCTTATTGATTCAGGTCGTTTTTTATTTGATTTAATATATGAACGTATGTTTTTGTGTATAAAACTTTTTTATATAGCTTTAAACACATAATTTTGCCTTTAATTGTTGTTCAAGTACATCTCACGTCAAAAACAACAGTCAATTAACAGCTTTGTAAAGGTAGTTCACACTTTTGTTTATTTTTTGATTAGTAATGTTCTAATATAGTTGACAAACAATGTATCTGTTTTAATTTAGTTTTTTGTATTTTTTTTTGTTTTAGCCATCCTGAATGCCTTAGTTTTGAGTTATTTTGCCGGTTTATTTTATGTTTTTAGTTCGAAACTAAGTTAGAACAATGACAAACAGTCAGGTAAGGTTTAATTTTGAATTTTGTTTTATTGTTATAGAGTTATTTTCTACTGTTTTATTTTAATTATAAATGCATTCGAAGGGTTTCTTTGGTGACAAATTATTAGAGTGCCACTCTTTTACTCTTTAAAGGGAGGTTTTAATTATTTTATTAAATCACGAATTAATTTAAAGGATATTATGAGATCTTGGCTTGCTTCCTTTGATAATATACGAGACAATCATACAGTTTTAATGATAATATTGTTGTTTACCAATAAAATTAAATGATGCAATTAGGTATTGTGGAATCACGTTTATTTATATGTTGATGGTTTGGTTTGGTTTGATGAATAATTATTTACACACATACCACAATGTTTACTATATTTATTATTATTTTGAAGAGGAGATGGTAATCTTATGTCTGTATTTTACTATGGAATAAATATGAATTATTATAGGTAATTTGTATAGGATAAATAAGTAAATTTTATTGAGAATTTTTTTAAAGTTAATGTGCTTAATATATTCACAATATAATATTTTGTTCTGTTGATGTGATTAAGTGGAAGTTTATAAAAAAAACAAATATTTGATGGACTTTACAATGGGTAGCAGATTTGTAAGTTTTATGCTGTTATATTTTTATAAAGATTTAGACCATTTATATAATATATGTAAATAATTATTATTTTGTTTAATAATTAATTTATAAAATAAAATACAAGTCTGACGAAATTTTTTGATTAAGATATTCTTTAAACATTAATATACACAGCTATTCACCTCATTCGACACGCAGTATTATAGCCACATGATTAGATTTTTAGAAATTTTGAGTGATACAATCGTTGGAGGACCACTAAAGCTATAATTTAAAATTATTTTCAAAAGGCACAGAGTGTCCCAAATAAATAAAAAATATCAAAGTTGTATTTTTTAATGGAACACCTTGCATATTATTACATTTTTAGTTTCTACGATTAAAATAAAGGTAAATTTAGCTTTTACCGTATCTTAATCTTACAGTTTGTGAAATATTTACGATTTTGTGAAAATACAAATAATGCTTCATTTCTCTAGGATTATTAAAGTTTTTAACTCTAAATATTGTACTGAAGTATTTCTATTTACTAAATTTTGTGTTGCAATAATACTACCTTATACAGAGCGTCTAAAAATGTATTTTATTATTTAAAATACATTTTACTAGCTTTAAACGGTAATAATAATTATTATCTTGTCAAGTTTTCATAGAAAACGCATTCTTTTATAATTTAGACCACACATTTATCAATATACCCATATAATATTTAAGTAGATAGACATTTTAGATTATTTTTAAAGATATAACAAATTTTCAAAGAGTACAGATACTAATATTGTTGATATAGTTCGCTTATTTCATTAAAAAAAAATAAAAAAAAACTTTTTAAATATTTGTAAAAGAGGACCAATTAATATGATCCCAATATTCGAAACCACATTAACTTACTATTTGCATTGGTTAATAATTATTGCTCTAAATACTTTAAAAAAACTTAATTTTGTATGTGTATTATACAGTGTGGTAAAAAGTAACACCTTATAAATTTTATTTCATTTTTTGATGAATGCTTATTTATAACAACTAACAGAGACGTTCACATTCATAATTTATTATTATGTTAATTTCTGATTCAAATCCATATTTATTTAGATTAATATATTAACAATCACAAAATGTATCACAGTATGTAATTAATTAATATTTGGGCGGAAATAATGGTGGTATATTTAATTAGTATACTCTTTTAGGAAGATTTAAATAAATAGTTTAATTTTTGTAAACAAATGGGCTAGTAATAATATCGGTTAGGGTACCTGCACATTTGTTGCTTTAAAAAATATCTAAAATGTTAATATTCCATTGGTATATTGATAAATGAGGTCTAAATTATAAGAAAATACATTTTCTATGAAAACTTGAAGATATAGGTAAAAAAGGGTATAACACAATTCGATAGACAATTAAATTGTGCATCTATTTCTCCTAAATAATACTACTAAATATATACTATATATATACTCCTAAAAACATTACTAGCCCATTTGTATGCAAAAAGAAAACTATTTAAATCTTTATAAAAGAGTATACCATTAATTAAATATAACACCATTATTTCCGCCCATATACTAATTAATTACATACTTAATTGTGTTCGTTAATAAATTATTATAAATAAATGTGGATTTGAGTCAGAAATCGATATAATAATAAGTTATCAAATTAAAGTCTCTCTTGTTATAAATAAGCACTTATTAAAAAACGAAATATCATTTTTAAGGTGTTACTTTTTATCACACTGTCTAATGCCCATACAAAATTCAGTTTTTTAGTATTTGGAGCAATTATTATTAATCAACGCAAACAGTCAGTTAATGTAGTTTGAATACTGGAATCATATTAATTGGTCCTCTTTAACAAATATTTAAACGTTTTTTTTTTATTTTTTAATGAAATAAACGAATTATATCGACAATATTAGTATCTGTACTCTTTAAAGATTTGGTACATCTTTAAAAATAATCTAAAATGTCAATAGTCCATGGGTATATTGATAAATAAGTTCTAAAGATAAAGAGATAGGTAAAAAATGGTATAATATAATTTGGTAGACAATTAAATTATGCATCTGATTCTTGTAAAATATACAGGGTGTTCCATTTAAATTAAACAAGTTATTGGTTTGAAGCATTATTTAAAATAAATTTTTAGACACTCTGTATAAGGTAGTATTATTTTTTATTATTGCAACACAATAACTGATCAGTAAATAAACTTTAGTAAATATTTAGTATTAAAAACTTTGATACCCTTTGGAGAAATGAAGCCTTAAATTTTTTTACTGCAATTTCACAAAATTGAAAATATTTCAAAAACGGTAAGGTTTTAAGTATAATAAACCTTAATCAAATTTACCTTTTTATTTTAATCGTAGAAACTAAAATGTAATAATATATATAGGGTGTTCCATTTAAAAAAATACAACTTTGATATTTTTTACTTATTTGGGACACTCTGTATCTTGTAAAATTATTTTTAAATTGTACCTCTAATAGTCCTTCATCGAACCCAAAACTTACAATTTGTAAAAATCTCATCGTTTAGCTACAATACTCCGTGTCGTATGTGGTGAACAACCCTGTATACTAGGTATGTTGACAATATTAGTATCTGTACTCTGAAAATTTGTTACATCTTTAAAAATAATCTAAAATGTCAATATTATATGGATATATTGATAAATGTATGAAAATACATTTTCTACGAAAACTTGGATAGGTAAAACATGGTATAATACAAGTTGAAAGACAATGATTGCCGTTTAAAGCTAGTAATTATTTAAAATATATTTTTAGATACTCTGTATTTTTCTCCATAACAAGGGGCCGTCCTCTGCCGGAACAGTGCGGCCTGTGAGGCCTATTGTGTTTGTCCCCCTTCTATATCTGCACCTATTCTCCTATCCCTGTGCCCTGCACTAGCTTATGCAGGTCCTTGATAGGATGGGAGCATGATTCCTCCGGTTCTAGCCTCTCTCTCTTCAGTCCTGACCCCCATTAGAGAGTGTAGTGGTCAGCGTAACATCATGGATGATTTTTCTCCATGCGCCTCTGTCTTTTGTCATCTCGATGACATCGTGCATTGGCTTGCAACAGCTAGTCGTGATCTGTTCTATCCATCGAGTTGGAGAGCGGCCACGTGGTCTACGTCCCTCCACCTTGCCTTCAATTATGTATGTGTCTTTCCATATTGTCCGGACTTTTCCTCATTATATGTCCAAAATATTTTAGTTTTGTCAAAACCTTTGGATTCATAAGCGCCCCAAGTGCCGCCTGACTGTCTGAGCATATATTGATGAGCTTACCTGAATAAGCTCTTCTATTGTTTTCTCTCGCACAAGAGGGGTCATTTGGTCCGATCTCATTTGGAGTAGATATCCTCCGATAGAATCTCCCATCTTTAACTGTCCCGTTTCTGTCCTATTTCCCAGGGACAAGACACCTTGTTGTCGATAGAGTCCCATTCTTGCCTCCGCCTGGATCACTATGTGAAGAGGCGGAAGGTCCAGAAGCGCCTCCATTGATGCAGTGGGCGTTGATTCCATTGCCCCTGTTATGCTCAGACAAGCAAGTCTTTGCACCTTACTAAGGCTGAGCATTGTTTGTTGCATTAACTTAGGCCACCATACCAAGGATGCATATGTTACTGAAGGCCTCACCACTCCAGTGTACAGCCAGTGCACCATCTGTGGTCTGAGGTCCCAGATTTTTCCATGAAGTCGTCTGACTACCGCTAGTGTAGTCACCGCCCTCCTTGTGACATTTTCCAAATGATGGTTCCAGGTCAGTTTGGTATCCAGCATGATTCCTAGATACTTGACCTTCCCCGAGAAAAGAATCTCATCACTAGATACTCTGTATACTGTAGTATTACTTTTATTATTGCGACACAAAATTTACTTAAATACGCCTAGAGAAATGAAGCATTAAATTTATTGTCCCTGCATTTTCACAAAATAGTAAATATGTATTTTCACGGTAAACCTTAGTTAAATTTGCCTTTATTTTAATGGTAGAATCTAAAAGTGTAATAATATATCGGGTGTTTCATTTAGAAAAAATATAACACTGATATTTTTCTTAATTTTAAACTGCACCAATTTAAAATCATTTTCTCAAATATAAAATAAATTACAGCCTTCGTAAGGTCAAGCAGTAAGCGCCATAAAAACATACAGAAAAGTACGAGCCGTCTTTGACGCCGTTTTTTTTATCTATATCTGTTATTAATTATAAATTTTCGATCTGACGACACTTTTTATATTGACGTTTTTATTTTATTATTATAAATTTTAAGATATTTATATTCAATTTAATTATTCTTGTAATGAGTAGGATACTAAAATTAGAATTAATTATACTGTTAATCTGATAATGATGATTTCTAATTTAACCTAATGCAAAGATTAGGTG